CGGCAAAGCAGCAATTAATCCACCAGCACTGACGAGAGAGGGTGAAGCAAATGCATCCCTCTTCGTCCCTTGAGACGTTCCATCTTTCGGCAGCACCTGCGTCGTCTGCGGCACAAATAGTTCGACCCGTTGCATCCCCTCAACACGCCCTGAAGTGCTCCCCTCTCCAGCAATGGCACCCGTCAATGCCGACCCAGAAGGAGTTGAGGCATCAGTGGCCTTTTCCACCTGAGCGGTCGTAGCTCCACTGCAGCACAACACGAGGAGGAGGAGCAGCACCGTGGAAATAAACACATGCCGCGACATGTTGGGCCTCTGCGGCTCACTCTCTCTTCCCTCCCTCCTCCTTCCGCTAGATCCGGTCACGCGGCGACGGTTGTGTGTGCGGAGTGCCTTCACTGCAGCAACACGTGAGAGCATACAAATATATGTGTGCGTGGGCGGTGTGCGTGCTGTTGTTCCTTTCAGTGCCTTCGAATTTCACAGTGGCGATTAGCGCTTGGTCGTAACGCTTTTCCTTCGTGTGTGCGAAAAAGCAGGGAGAGAAGGAAGCATGCCACGCAAAGAGACAAAACAGTGAGGAGCACAACAGTGAGCACAGCCACCCATCCACCGTGATTGGCACCATCATCCCCGCCGCAGCCACTCCCAACAGCAACTCACGCACACAGACACACGGAACAGGAGAAGGAAGAACAGTGCACCGGGAACAAACAGCGACTGTCAACGCAAGGCAGCGTCTACACAACAAACGCACACACCGCCAGCAGCCACCCACCAATGGACAAGAACGAGAAAAGACCCACCGCCATCATCGCCTCCAGTTCAGTCCCACGGACAACGGGATACGGCCACAGCCCGCTGCCGGCACACACAGCGCACACGGAGCAAGCAGTCACCCAAAGAGCCACACGCAGAAGCGGATCCTCATCCATCAATGGTATACGGCGCCTCACTCCATGCGGTCACAAGGAGCACACTGTTTCCTCAATAGAAAGTATTCGTCGTCCATCCCCTAAAAATGCTTCTGTTCGTGATGGACCTTGGAACACAATAGAAGAAAATGGACAATGCAGTAGTACTGCGACACCGCCAGCAACAATGATTCCCTCATACCGGGGCAATTCTCCAATTACGCCTCGTACCCACACACACAATAAACACAATATATAAAAACCACCCAATGTTTTCACCAGAAACCAAACAACCCCACTCCCTCCCTAATTTATTCTGCCACTGTTATGTTCGATAGCGTTGGACAGTTCTGAAATCTGTGCGATATACTGCCGTCTGGTGCTGGCGCACCCGCACCGTATGCACACAAAAAAGTATCCACAAATATATAAATCCCACAACATTTTTTTACCAGAAATCAAAACTACCCCCTTCATTCCCTAATTCGTTCTCCTATTTCGTTTTTCCTCACCTCAGAGAGCTTCGCCCATTCTAAGCTCTCCGGATGATATTGCTGCTACGTACTGGTGCACCTCTTCCTCCCAGAACGCCGCAATCTCTCGGTTTTCAGCGCGGCTCACATTATTGGAATCGACGACATCACATCTCCGCCAGTCATTCATCGGCGTGCTGTCTGCGTGCTGCACGTAAATAATCTCCCACGACATGTCTCGGGATAACTCCTCCCAACCATTAAAATATGCCGCCAGGCACTCAGTGAACTGCCGCACAGTGCTGGTTGTCGTGTGGTGCCCACCCGCCGGAATCATCCGCAGCCCAACCAGCGTCATTGGATTTGAGTCCACAAAGAAAAAGCCGTCCACCAGCGGAAAGTTTTGGACTTTGGGCTCATACAGCACCCAGTGGTCCATAGCAACCGGATTGGAAAGACGTTCCGGTGGCGGTAGAACCTCTTTTCTGGCGAAGCTCGTGTCTGAGTGCTCCTTCAGCGCACAGCTGTGTGGCTCACGTCGTCCTGGTGGCCCCACTTCCCTGATTTTGAGTCTTATCGCACGCAGGAAATCCTCATTCAAAAATGCGGATACGGCATACTTTTCAATAATATATGGTGGGACATAATCCCAGAACCTCAGAACAAAAAAAATAAAATCGGACTGCTTCATTTCATTCTCCAGCCGGGACAGAGTTTCACGTTCGAGGTGGGGAGATATCAATACATTCAGAGGCAACTCAATGCTGTTTCCTCGTCGTACTCGGACAACCCTCACAAGCTTTCGAGACAAGTCACTGTCATTGGACGAGTAACAGCAGCCAATACCCAAATTACGCTCTAATTCCGAGGCGGTCGACCCATCCACGGCCTGCTGACACGCTTTGATGCGGTCATCATATGCCTGTTTGCCAAATATGAAGCGGAGAATTGGTCCCACGTTATTCATGCGACCCCTCACCTCCTTCCAGTACTCCGCTTGCTCCTGCAGGGGTCGATTGCGCTTCATCCAAATGCACATTGCCCTCACATCGTTTTCTTCGGGACAATTCGTTACGATTGCAGTAGCGTCCATTTTTTTTGTCCACCGTTCATATTCGTTTTTGTTTGGTGGTGTCACCACAATCATGCCCCATCCCTTGCAAGGGCAACCA